AGTTCCCACTTTCGTCTTTCAAGCTTAGAAACCCTAGAGACCAGCCGCATTAAAAACCCCCACCGCCTCCGCGGTAGTCCGCCGACCGAAAATTGCCTCACGGTGGCAGACCACCTCCAAACACCACCAAAAGCACACCCTAGAATCCCTGTCTTCTTCTCTTTCCAAATCCCAAAACGGCTTCCCTAAAATCCCCACCAAGATCCTCGAATTTCAGATTTGAATACCAAACCCGAAAACGCCCAAATGGCTTCAAAACTTCACCAAACAACCACCACCTCCCCCTAACCCCATATCTCCACTCTGTTTCATCATAAAATCATCAAATCCTTTAAATTCCAGATCTGAGAAACCTCCAAAGCCCTCGATTTTGCCCTTTTTACCTCACCGACGTTTTTCAAGAGTTTGACCCAAACATTAGTCAATCGTTCTTGACAAGACCGACCAATTATTGTTGATTTTGGGTCATTTTCAAAACTCTCTGAAGTATGGTTCGTTGGCAGCAACCGGCCAGATTCTCCAAGTCCCATTGGTTCATTACAATAGAATAGGTAAGTTCTTGTTCAGTACCTTTTCTTAGCCATTTCTTTTTTTTCCTTTGACTTCTTTCTTATTGTGGTTAATCTATTCGTAGTTGCATGATTTAGGCTTTTATTTTTTTAGACTTGTTGATTAACTGATGTGCTTAATCATCAACGCTAGTCAGTAGTTTAGGATTAATTCATGAATTTTCCATCAGGGTCATTAGATTTTCAGTTTTTCGACTAGGGTTTATTTAAATTGGTTTAACTTGTGTTTAATCAGGTTTGTTTTGAAATCAGCATGTTAGTATCTCATTGTGGTTTAATTCCCTGTTAAATGGAAGTATTAATTAGTTCAAAAGGCCGAATCTCAGAAATTGGTTCATTCATTGGTTAATTCTTGTTAATGTCAATTTCAAATGTTTAAGTGTCGTGTCATTTCTGATTTCATCTCAATGATAAACCTTTTTAGGTTTTAGGGCTTTGGTGCCATTTGATTTTTATTTCCTTTTGGTTTTGTTTTAGAGTTATTTTCCTTGGTTTGGAAATGTTTAAAACTCTTAGGGTGTTAATTGAATAGCTAAAACCTTAAGGGTTTAAGCTGGACATGAGATAGGGACTTTCAGATATTTCCTACACTTAGAAGCTTCTAGAGGAGGGGGCAGTTGTCCCTATTTGGTTAGCACAAAAATACTAAGCCAATAAGGGACAACCAGCTGTCTAGGTGGTTGAAAAAGATGCCTTTTGCAGCCTGAGAATATTTCCTGGATTGGTTTTGGGCACATGGCCTTAGAGGCCTATAAGTAGTGTCTTTCCTTCACTCTCAAAGACAGACTTTTAGGCACTATTCTTTGCACCTAAAATTCTTAAAACACACACTGATAGAATTTTCAGAACTGGAAAAATGCTGAAAAGGGTCTCGAATACTGTTTCATTGGGTACCTGATTTTGATTTTTCTGGGTTTTAAAAGGAGCTTCAATACTTTGCTGGTTTTTGGGTTCCAAACATGGTTTAAAGTGGTTGTATTGCTGTTGACTACTATTGTTTAAGCTCTGCTTATCTTCTTTATTAGTTCACTCTAGCTGATATCAGGAATTTCCTTTCCCTTTTGCTGTATCCAGGTATTCTCACTAAAGCCAAAAACATGGTTATAACATGGTGGCAGGAAAATAAAAAGCTCCAGATCTATTTTTGTTTAATATTTTTTTCCTTATTTTTCCTTTGTTTGTAATGTTCCTCCCACTTATTTGAGTTAGTTTACCCTTAAATTTGATGTCCACTGCTGTCAATCATGGTATTTGAGTGTTGAAAGCCTGAGTTAGTTTTAGAAGTTTCTTTATATTTTACTAGGCAACTTCAGCTATCCCTACAAGTGTAATATGTGATACTGCATTTAAAACTTGCAATTATAAGCTGTCCATATGTGCTTAAGTGGTTTAATGCCCTCAGCATGGTTACAATTAATGTTATTAGCATGAATATGTATTTAGATTTGGGGAAATATATGAGCAGGTTCATATGAATAGGCCATACGTGTTAAATAATGCAGTGTTTGTCTAGAGTCAGGAATTTTATTATACTTTCTCGAATTGCAGCAGTAGTAAAATGATTATATCCTTAATTCAATATGATTCATGGATAAGTAAGGTTACATCTTTCCTGGTTAATACTGATAGTTTGTTAATAGCTAGACTTAGAACAAGCCTTTAATTTGTGCTAAAGTTCTCAATGTCCTGGACTGTACGTGACTAAAGAGACTTGAGTCTTATTTGGGCCTAGAATTGGCCCATCAGAGACAGCCCGATCTGAGTTCATCCTTGGACTCTTTTGTCAATTTAATCTCTATTTTGAGTTTGATTCAAAGTTTAAATCAATTCCATTGATGGATTTCGTTATGCATAATTCTAATCTGGTTAAAACGAGCCTTAAATGTTGGGCATTTGTCTTAAAAGAGCTGGGCTCAATGCTGGCCCAATCGAATCAGCCGAATTAGTTAGGCCATGTTCCCCCATTCATCCTTTTTCTTGGGCTTGATTTCAGCCCAGTCCCCAGCATGGACCCCTAAAACCTTCTTGATAACAATTGTGCATTTTATCTTTTACAAGTATCAATGTCCCTTATGCCTAATTAAGTGTAACTCTTTTAATTGTTTAAGAGGTGTGCCATCTTAATTAAATTTCCTATGGCCCTCAGATTAATCTTATAACTTAGATACTAGAAAATGAATTTCGTAGTTTGCTTTAGGCGCGTTAATTAAATAATTATCATGGCTACGGGTATGGTTCCCGTGACGTAGTTGTGATTTGTAATTACAAAAACCCAGGTGTACATTTCATGTGACCCGATTTTAATTTCTAACAAGGTTAACTAGAAAGTGTCGTGAACCACGGGTGCATTTTATGTAGCGTGACTTACGATGTGTTTTAAATAACCTTGAATTGTTCTGAAATATTAAAGCGGTTAGAAAGTTAAAAATGCACGCAGGTTAAAAATGTGTAATTAATTAGATAAATAGGCCAATAATAATAGTTGAGCGACCATGCTAAAATTACGGAACCAGAAAATGCCTAACACCTTCTCTCGGGGTAACTGAATTCCTTACCCAGATTTTTGTATTTTGCGAACCATAAATAGAGTCAAACTTCCTCGATTCGGGATTTAAACCGGTGACTTGGGACACCATAAATTATCCCAAGTGGCGACTCTGAATTTTAAATAAAATAATCTCGTTTTGATTGTCACTTTAATTGGAAAAAAACTCCCTTATACCCTTCGGGGGTGGTAAAAAGGAGGTGTGACAGCTCTGGCGACTCTGCTGAGGATAAGAACCCAGAACTTCTGGTTCAGGGTTCAGAATTCGAGTTTAGAATATTTGTTATAATTGGCTTTATTATCTAATTTTTAATATGTTTGAACCTAATATGCTAAATGCCTCTCTTTTACCGCTTTGATATTGCTGAACTGTATATAAACTATTATGAACCCTCCTCTCTCTGAGTCTTCTAAATCATCTTGGAAGGGTGCACTTAGTGTAGCTTCTCTTCTGTTAGAGTCATATCCTAATTTTAGAATGAGGTTCGGACAATTGCAAAGCCGGTGAAGCTTCTGTATTCCCGGTACGCTGCCCCCTCTCGACTCGAGTTGTCCGTTCGGGTAAGCCAGGTCTAGAACAAATAAACCCAGGTTTTTAAACATAGTATAATATAGCCTCATACCAGATTCCTAGTAAGAACGCTTGTTTGCATTACGTGCATTTGACTTTGGGGACTCAACACATGGGTTAGGTCCGTCTAGTACAGGTGTACCCGAAATCAAAAGATCATCCTGATGCATTTTACTTGCTACTTGCACATTTATTTGACTCGGATTGCGTGTTGACCGGCTTCTAGAATAGGGAAGAAAATTGAGAAAAACCAAATTGAGGTAAGAAAGAGGAGATCACCCGCCTATGAAAAAACTTGGTGTCCAAATATCTCGAAACTCTGCCGAAATTTTTGAAAAAAAAGGAAAAAAGCTATTTCAAATGTTTATGTTTTTATGTTGCATCAAAATTGACCGAACTATGCAAGTTTGATTCTCACCGGATGTGAGATACGTAGGCAACCCTCATCGGGTCCAACTCCATTTTGCAAAAATAACGCAAAAATATGAAGTGTTGTTATTTTGTCATAAATAAAATTAGATGTCGTTTTTGTCTAAAATAGCCAAAAGTGCCCCAAAAGGGCACCGGAAGGTTGCTTTTTGCAAAAATAGCCACCTATGGTCCTTCTTCAAATTTTTTGCCGATTAGCAAACACATCCCTAAAGTCTTCTTTCCTGAGGTGCTGAAGGGCCGTATTTTGCAAAGGTGTTTTGTTTTAATTTTTGAAAATTGATAATTCTCTCTTGAGCCAAAATAAATCATGATCTTTTAATCAATCACTTCAAATAAATGTGCAGGATGAGCACTATTGAAAATGAACTTTTCACAATCCTCGAGGAAATACTGTTTGAACTCCATATGTGGTGGAATGATCTAGAAAGGTCAGCAGAGATATTGTGATAAAAGCTTAGGGCGGTCTCATTGGTCTGTTGAAGATTAAGCCGATGTTGGATATAATTGAGGCTTTGATACCTTTTTGGGACCCAACGCATAATGTGTTTTATTTTTCTGATTTTGAGCTAACCCCTACGCTTGAGGAAATAGCGGGCTATGCTGGTTTTAGGGGAATCTCATAAATCAATACCAAGTGGCACATAGAGTGGTGACTCCTTGTGAGCACGTGATTTTTGCCCTATATGAGTTATTCCCATAGATTCAAGAAAAATAAAATTTTCCATTATTTGCAATTTCGTAGATTTTCGTAGTATTTTTTGTTATTGTTTGCATTTGCCTGTGCATGTTTATTTTATTTAATTCATGAAAATACAAAAATACACTGCATTTGCATTTAAAATCTAATTTTGCATTCTTGAATTAATTAGTAATTTAGTATTTTATAAAAATGAAAAAATCACAAAAATAACTTATTTTTGCATTTTAAATTTTTTGGTTCGAATTTTGGTAGTTTTTCTTTTATTTGGTATTTAATTAGTTGTGGTAATTATTATTTAGAGTTAATTATTTTAATTGGTAGGATAATCTAGTTTTAAGATTTTTATTCAGGTTTTATTTTTATTTGGAATTAATTAAAAGAATTTGAAAATAAAAAGAAATTGGAAAGGAATACAAAGTCTGATATTTGGGCTATTTTTTTAATTCAATCTCCCTAGGCTCAAGTGTATTTTCCTTGAGACCCGCCAAACATAGGACCAAACCCACGCCCCAACCCGTTCCGCCCCGTCTAGTGTCCAAACGACACCGTTTAACCAGTGTTCAATCCCAGCCGTCGAGGTTTCTCGATCAAACGACTGGGAACACAGGGTCCCTAAGTATATTATTGTCCAAACGCTTTCCACCCCCTCACTCGTCTTCCTCACCCCTCAGAAAAATAAACCCTAACCCGCCGCCCTAATTCCCACCGCCTTAACCCGGCGGCGCCACCTCCGTTCACTACCAAAAATACACTCCACGACCACCAAGTCTCCCTCGTTCCAAATCCCCACTCCGTTTGCTTCGAATCCTTCCAGAACTTCTCGAATTTTAGATCGAAAGTGAACCCTAAAAATCCAAAAGTCATTTTCTTTGAAATTTGGTAGCATGCATGGTCATCGGGTGGTGTTTCTTCGAGTTTTGAAATTCGGACTCAACAAGACTGATGTTGTTCAGCTTGTTCTTAACAAAGAACAATTGACCGACATTAGTTTTATTGGGTCCTTTGTCTTCGTCTGGTTTCGAGGCTTAATTTGGTAAGTTCCTTTCCCCTTTTGTGTTTTCTTTTATTATCCTCCTCTTTCCCTTTCTTTAAGCCTAGTTTTCTTATAATAATCTGACTGGAAATTTGATTCGCCTTCTGAGTTCAAACCTGTTCTTCGGTTCATTATTTCGTTTTCCTTTTCTTCTTTCTTTCTTCTTCTTTGTGAAATCTGTTTCTTTGACTTCTTTAGTTTGTTAAGCATGCCTAATTTTCTGGTTTGTGTTTCTGTTAATAACCTAGTTAATTAGGCCTATAACTTAGTTAATTTCTTGCGATGTAGTTAAGCTAATTAATTCATTCACCCTCGTCTTTGTTTGATTGCATTTTAAAAGGGTTTCCGGATTTCTTCTTTTGGGAATTTTGGTTAGTTTTTAAATTTGGAAATCTTTGCTTAAATTGAATTGGGTTCTGAAAGTCAAGAGCCCAAGTGGGTTTAATTTGGATTCACAGACCCATACCAAATCTAGTTGGGTCAATTTGACCCACATTTTGAAGGGTAATTAACAGGGCTCAGAGGGTTATTCTGGGTAATTTCTAAGGGAATCTGAGTGTAACAGCTTTAGGAAGCTTCCAGAAAAGGGGGTTTGGGACTAATTTGAATTTCTGAAGTTTATCTTGAGGGTATGATAGCAAAAACCAAAATTGGAAAAAGGTTTTAGGTGCAAAAGTTGATTTCTTAAGGCTTCCCTAGAGCCTTGCCTATAAAGGCATGATAACTTGACTTTCAAGTCAAACCCAAGAGAAAAAAAGAAAAGAAAAATCCAAAAATTTAAAAAAAACAGCTAAATCTGAAAAATAATACTGGATTTTCTTACACTTTTTTGATGGAAACTGCTCAAATTTGGTTTGTTTGCTGGGTTTTCTGATCTTCTCATTAGCTAGAACTCTTGAAAATTATGGAGCCCTGCACTTGATTTGAAGATTGTTTGAGTTTTTGAAATTATTTTTTAAGAGTTGGTTCAAGCTAGTTTGGATTTGGGGTTACTGTTTTATTGCTTGCTGGGTTTATTCTGCTATTGCTGTCTACTGATTCTACACTTACTTTCCCTTTGATTTCCAAATATTTTCAGCACTATGGACATCACTTAAGTGTAGTATGAAGTT